ATTTTCGATACCTCACTACTATAAAGGCTTGGTTTTGGTCTGATATTTCATTGGTGGTAGTGTCCAGAGTCACTGATGAGGAGTGGAATCCTCCGAAACTAGTTTGGCTCACAGACACACCCCCAATGAAAGAATAGACCATTCTAAGAATTTCTGAAGACGGCTTGAATGGGCAGTGAAGAAAAACTTTAATATAAGTTTAACATAACAGCAAATATACAGCGTTTCGACAAGGTTTTGTCATCACCATTCTAAGCTTTTACTTGTTGTTAAACAAATATTTAAACAATTCTATTCAATTATGTACAAGTTGCCCAGTGTCGGCTAACAATACGAAGGATTAAACTGTGGTGAAATGCTCCAAGTTCTTCAAATACCTATTGAATGATAGGTTTCTTTTTTTTGTGAGTGTAAAACACTTAAATACACCATTTCGGTTTCTCGAGAAATGTCGATTTCTGGAAAGCCAGCCTTGATCTCTTGCTTTGCCGCTGCTTCTTCAACTCCATCTCTACCCCAAAATGCCCCCCCCCCCCAGTGGCACAGCGGTATGTCTGCGGACTTACAACGCTAGAATCCGGGTTTCGAAACCCGTGGTGGGCAGAGCGCAGATAGCCCATTGTGTAGCTTTGTGCTTAATTACAAACAAACAAACTACCCCAAAATATCACAATTAATTAAAAAATTTACAAACTCCATTTTAATAAAGTTATTTTTCTAGCTCACCTTAAATGATGGATCACTGTTACCAAATGTAATATCTCACGAGGGGGGCGAAGTGGGATATCAATATCCCTGAAAACCCCAATTAAGGAAAATCTTTCTTTTCTTTAAAACTAAATTCCTGCCACATTTAAATAAATAAATGAAAGCCATTCTTCGAACTGTTGGCGGTTAAAGCTTGTGTATTTTTCATTTTTGTTAGGTTAAGTTTCTTTAAGATTATTCGTATTGTTTCCTCGAGTGGAATATTAGTGAATAAAAGTTCAATGTTGAAACTAGAAAGTATTTATTGATCAGCATTAGTAATTTTAGAATTTTTTGGGGTA